TCTGTTCCCTTCTGCTATGAATCACTTCACCAGTGGCCTTGGCTGGCGGGGATGCCCTCTCCCCGACACCCCCCCCCCAGCTCAAGGCCAGAGAAAGTGCTTCTGGCATACAGTTAGGAACATAAGAACATCCAGTCCAACACTCTGAGTCACACAGTGGCCAGAAATACCAGGTGCCACCAGGAGGTCCAGCAGTGGGGCCAGGACACCAGAAGCCCTCCCACTGTTCCCCCCCCCCCAAGCACCAAGAAGACAGAGCATCACCTGCCCCCCAGACCGAGAGTTCCTATCTATACCTTGCGGCTAATAGCCACTGATGGACCTCTGCTCCAGATGTTTATCCAATTCCCTTTTGAAGGCTTGTAGCTGCCACCCCCTCCTGTGGCAGTGAATTCCACGTATTAATCACTCTTTGGGTGAAGAAGTACTTTCTTTTATCCTTTCTAACCCGACTGCTCAGCAATTTCATGGAGTGCCCACAAGGAGTTCTTGTATTGTGAGAAAGGGAGAAAAGTACCTCTTTCTCGACCTGCTCTTTCCCATGGATAATCTTATAAACCTCAATCATGTCACCCCTCAGTCGTCGTTTCTCCAAGCGAAAGAGCCCCAAGCGCCTTAACCTTTCCTCATAGGGAAAGTGTTCCAACCCTTTTATCATTCTAGTTGCCCTTTTCTGCACTTTTTCCAATGCTTCTGGGGAACGGAGTGGACAGCTGAGCAAGAAGAGTGGGGAGGGGGCATCGGGGCAAGAGGATGGAACAGTGATCATAATGTTGTTGAGTTCAACATTTGTACAAATAAAGAATTGGCCAAAAAGACTCACACAACCACTTTTAACTAAAAGGGGTAACTTCTCTGATATGAGGGGACATGTGGGGAGAAAACTGAAGGGAAAAGTAGAAAGGGTCAAAACCATTGGGGAAGCTTGGAAACTATTTAAAACTACGATCCTAGAAGCGCAAAAAAAAATATATTCCGCAGGTTAGGAAAGGCACAAACAGGTATAGGAAAAAGCCTGCATGGTTAACAAACAAAGTAATGGAAGCTGTAAAAAGTAAAAAGAATTCCTTTAAGCAGTGGAAAGCTAGTCACCACACCTTAAAAAGGATATTATAGCTTTGGAAAAAGTGCAGAAAAGGGCAACTCAAAGGATAAAAGGGTTGGAACACTTTCCCTATGAGGAAAGGTTAAAGCGCTTAGGGCTCTTTAGCTTGGAGAAAAGACGACTGAGGGGTGACATGATCGAGGTTTATAAGATTATGCATGGGAAAGAGCAGGTAAAGAAAGAGGTACTTTTCTCCCTTTCTCACAATACAAGAACTCGTGGGCACTCCATGAAACTGCAGAGCGGTCAGGTTAGAACGGATAAAAGGAAGTACTTCTTCACCCAAAGAGTGATTAACACATGGAATTCACTGCCACAGGAAGTGGTGGGTGCTACAAGCATGGACAGCTTCAAAAGGGAATTAGATAAGCATATGGAGCAGAGGTCCATCAGTGGCTATTAGCCACAAGGTATAGCTAGGGGCTCTGGGGCAAGTGATGCTCTGTCTTCTTGGTGCTTGGGGGGGGGGTCAACAGTGGGAGGGCTTCTAATGTCCTGGCCCCACTGCTGGACCTCCTGATGGCACTGGTATTTCTGGCCACTGTGTGACACAGAGTGTTGGACTGGATGGGCCTTTGGCCTGATCCAACATTGGCGTCTCTTATGTTCTTATGTAATGC